TCTATCGGTTTCTTAAAGCAGGTATCTCAAAATCTTCTGTTACAATCTTGGACTTCATGTGATTCTGTCTATTGTGCCTTACATTTGTTGGGCTAGTTTCGGGGTGAAGATTTCATTCATACACCTTTATTGTGACCACTGATGTAGTTTGATTGATTTGACTTTGAACATTTATGCGTTCTAATGCGACAATAGCCCTGGTGGTGTAGTGGGCTGTATGCATTGAACTGCTAACCACAAGGTCAGTAGTTCAAACCCATCACTTGTTTCTCGGGAGAGCAGATGAGGCTATCTACTCCTGTAAAGATTTAAGGCAGTGGTTCTCAATCTTCCTCATGCCGCGACCCTTTCACACAGTTCCTCCCGTGGTGGTGACCCCCCCAACCATAACATTATTTTTGTTGCTACTTCATCACTGTCATTTTGCTACTGTTATGAATCGGGCAACCCCTGTGAAAGGGGGTTTGACCCCCAAAGTTCTACTCTGTCCTCTTGGGCTCTATTCATCCGGAATCGACTCGACGGCCGTGAGTGTGGCTTGAACGCTGCGCACTGGAGGACCCTTGAGAGCGATCCACTGAGTCAACCAAGGCAGTCAATGAAGGATAGCTACTGTGTGATCCTCTGACGTGAAACAGCTGGAACAGGCCAGTGTAGACACACCCAAGTTCAAGAGTAGTTCCCAAGGGGAGGGAGGGAGGAGCCAAGGGACTCATTACTTAGAAGGTACTGAACTTCTGCTCCTGGTGATGGACGACTTTGGACATGGTGGTGTGGTTGCACAACACGATGAATGTCCTTGTGGTTAGCAGCCTAATTCATGGCCCCCTATGGCACCGAGGCACCTTATGCCGAATGTCATTAATGCCAATGAATAGTATGTGTAAAACAGGTTGACGTGGCAAATGTTTTCTTACAATTAAAGAAAAAATGGCTTTCTCCTTGGCATGCTCTTTCTAGGCTTCTCTTTTCTCTTTCCCCGCCGTCTATTGGCTTGATCAAGCTTTCCAACATTGTTTTATTATTCCTTGAGAGATTCCCTTCACATTGTTAATATGCATACTTGCGTTAAAAATTCTAAAGCTACTCAACGCCTCCTTCCTAGACAATCTAAGTGCTTTATAATGCATTTGCTGTAACTACTGTCTTATGTTCTATAGTAGTGCTATCATTATTTAATCCCACACATATACCTCCAATTAGGCAGGCATTAGTGTTTTCAAAACATTCTAGGCTCCACATGGAAGAAGCACACCAGCCTGTGTGATCACGAGGTGTCAAAGGGATCAGGTATCAGGCATCAAAGAACAAAAAATCATATTATAGTGTGCTCACCTTCCCGATACGATCGCTGAAGACAAATGGGTGCATAAGCAAAAGTGGTGAAGAAAGCTGATGGTGCCCGGCTATCAAAAGATACAGCGTCTGGGATCTTAAAGGCTTGAAGATAAACAAGCACCATGTAGCTCAGAAGCAACAAAGCCCACATGGAAGAAGCACACCAGCCTGTGTCATCATGAGGTGTCAAAGGGATCAGGGATCAGGCATCAAAGAACAAAAAAAAGCAAATCATTGTGAATGAGGGGGAGTACAGATTGGAGACCCAAGACCCATCTGTAGACAACTGGACATCCCCTTACAGAAGGGTCGAGGGGAGGAGATGAGCCAGGCAGGGTGCACTATAGCAACGATGAAACATACAACTTTCCTCCAGTTCCTAAATGCTTCCTCTCCCTCCCTCCCCACTATCATGATCCCGATTCTACCTTACAAATCTGGCTAGACCAGAGGATGTACACTGGTACAGATAGGAACTGGAAACACAGGGAATCCAGGACAGATGATCCCTTCAGGACCAGTGGTGAGAGTGGTGATACCGGGAGGGTGAAGGGAAGGTGGGTTAGAAAGGGGGAACCGATTACAAGGATCTACATATAACTCCCTCCCTAGGGGACAGACAACAGAGAAGTGGGTGAAGGGAGACGTTGGGCAGTGTAAGATATGACAAAATAATAATAATTTATAAATTATCAAGGGTTCATGAGGGAGGAGGATTGGGGAGGGAAGGGAAAAATGAGGAGCTGATACCAAGGGCTCAAGCAGAAAGAAAATGTTTTGAGAATGAGGATGGCAACAGATGTACAAATGTGCATGACACAATGGCTGGATGGATGAATTGTGATAAGAGTTATACGAGCCCCATATAAAATTAAAAACAAAAACAAAAAACCCATTCTGGGTTCATTGAGATGGAGCGAAGTGTTTACCAGTTTCACTGTTCACCACTGCTTCTAGCATGCCCTTCTTCCCTCCTGAATTCATGTTCTTTCTCTGGAACGACATCTTGTACTAGTTCTCTCAGTGTGGCTCTCAGTGGAGTAATCCCTTCTCAGTCCTTGATAGTCAAAAGCTATTTTCACCCACGATCCTCGGTTCCTGCTCCCCATATGTGAGGCGCCGAAGCACATTTCCGAATTCCTTTAAGCTTGATGCCTCCCACCCCAACGTCAGTGCCTGTTCTCGGGTCTGATACCCTGGAGCCCTCAGGCCAGGAGCTCAGTGACTGTCCACTCTTTGCATGTCCTCTTATTTCTAGCACCTGGGGGTTTCCCTGTCTGTGTCTGGAACTCAGTTACAGATTGTTATATTTCATCCTGTGTTTGTGCCAGGGGATGGGCAAGGGTCTACATTAATCATTTCTAGTTACTGTTCCCGGAAGTCCAGATAAGCTATTTATAGCAAATTTCCCTCTTAAGAATGTTTATCATTTGTCTCTAACGTAAACAGCCTATCTTTCGATGGAGAAAACAGACCTGGAAGAAGCAGTGTCATTCCTTAACGTGTTTCAGCCAAGGTGGTAGTTTTCTCATTTTGTTCCCCTTCGTGCTGATCTTGGTACATAAGGAACATCGCCCAGGCAGTCAGTGGGGAGTATATAATCGGCTACCAAGAAATGGAATTTTCCAGGGCTTTGTCTCTTGTTCCTGCATCTCCCTCACTTCTCTTTGCTCCACGGAGGGGATCCCGAGGAGAAACCAGCTCAATATTAGATTGACACCCAGAGGGTGCTGAAGCGCAGGACTGAGACGCTGTTTCTGGGAGGAAAGTGCTTCCAGGCCCGACCCTGAGCTCAGCTCTCCCTGCACGGCGACAGCTGGCTGGAGGCTGAACGGGCTCCAGGTCCCGGGAATTCGCAGCTACTAATAGATGAATGAGATTGATCTCATTTGCATTTCATCGTGACTCAGGAATTCCCTGGTACTGCATCCCTGGGCAAATTAAAAAACTGTTGCTTTAATCAGCCCAAGGTCTTTGCTGCCAGGAGACTGGCTCGGGAGACATCCATCACCCTAGCGAGAGGCCCCAAACTCTCCTACTGAGAAGGAACGGCCCGCGGGGGTGTGGAGCCAATGTGAGAATGGTGGCAGACAAACAGCTCCTCTCAGAAACACGAGGACCCATCCAAGGCACCGAGGGTGGACAGGGGACAGGGAGCACACTGGGGACACTGTCCAGCTATTATGCTGGGAACGCTTTTGAATGATCACCCAGGGGACAAAAGGAAGCACCGTGGGCGTCAAAGGGACTCAGAAATAGACGACATACAACCATGCAGGGTCTAACGCGATGGCAAAGGTTCCAGTCATATAAGGGTGGCGAGGGGTGAAGCGGGAGTTCTCGGCTGCTAACTGAGGGCCTGGCAGTGTGCACACACCCAGAAAGCCCTGGTGATCGACTCCCATCAGGATCACAGCCTGGAAAACGCCGTGGGGCCGCTTGACTCGGTCACATGGGTCAATAAAACCAAACTCACTGCCCTCGAGTTGACTGCAAATCAGAGTGACCCTACCGGACACAGCAGAACTGCCCCTGTGGGTTTCGGACACTATTCATCTTGACAGGAGTAGAAAGTCTCATCTTTCTCCCGCAGAGCGGCTGGTGGTTTTGACCTGGCGACCTTTCCGTTAGCAGCCTAACACATAACTCAATACGCCACCAGGGCTCCTTGGGAGTCAAGAATTGACTTGACAACACCTAGGAACTAAAACAGCGGCCGCACCAGGAGCAATGAAGCGGAAGTCCTATTTAGAATGGCAAAAGGCCGAATCCAGGGCATTGCTAAGGCACGAGGGGAATCGATGTCGCGTGTCTCTTGTACCATCCCATTCCAGGTTTCCACTCCCCTGGTGCCCCTCAGACTACAGCTATTTGAAAATACTGGATCTGAAGACAATGGGCTGGAAGTGGGCACAGGTGGGGAGAAGATCAGCAAGCCCAGTTATTCACCGGTATTATTATTGTTATCATCACCATTGTGTGTCGACAGATACTCAGTGATAGCGATAGTGATGTGAAAATAACCAATGGTTTTAAGGACTGACTGCCCAAGGCAGGTCTGGTAGTCTTGATTGGTAGGGGTTGTCAGTCTTAGGAGCTTAAGCCCTTCTAAAAGAGGACTGTGCCCACCTTGGGAAAAATTAAAACGAGAAATGAAAATCACGTTAGCCAACCATTCTGGACACGGGTGACTGCTGATTTTGCCAACTTCCTGGGTATAATGACCTGTATGGTCATTGGGCTCGTAGTGGAAATCGAGGCCTTAATGCCACCCTAAGGACAGGACTTGTCTACAAGGGCCAGGCACAGCCACCTCTTTCCCACTGCTGACAGCAATCAAAGCACTGAGGATCATTCCCTGTCGTCCTATGATCAGACGGCACCTTGACAGACATCAAAGGCAGGCCCGACCACCGCGCCGCGCCTCGGAAAAAACACAGATGCGCTCAAGGATGGCTTTGCCACAGGCAGGGGCTGGTTCTAGGAAGGGCGCAGCCTGGTGGCTGTCCGTGGTGGAGGTACTGACTTTCCACGTCACCTTCTTACCCCAGGTGCTAGGGCCTCCACCTCCACCTTGACGTCCCCTGTGGGCCATGTGGGAGGGGCTCCTGGGTGGCGAGCAAGGTCCCAGGTGGAAGGAAGGTCTGGCCGCGAAGACTTACCTGTTAAGATAGACCCGCTTCTCCGTGAACTGCCCATTGCCGTGGTGAGGGTCCTCAAAGGGCTCATTCTGGACGACCTCCACGCCTTCCCCTCGGTCACTCTGCTCGTGGCTGTGTTTGCTGATCATGTAGAGCTGTCCGATTTTATACTACAAAACCAAGAGACAGCAAGGTTAGCGGCGCTGCCTGCCCGGCTCACCAGCCCCTCCAACCACGGCGCGACGGGTGGCGGAACTATCAGCACCCTTCTGCTGAAAAGGAGACCAAACTAACACGTAGACTTTCCCACGGACGGGACTATGGAGAACCGAGTGTGAGTGCCCCGGCCGGTGACACGGCACCTGCCTTGAGCATTTTCATCACCTCCGCAGAGGCACACCGAGGTGGAGGTCAACCCCGACTGCCCGTCTCCCCACCCACTCTGGCCTGGGTTAAATGGTAGTCGAGTCCTGCTTTGTTCCACATAGACTCACTGTCATTGACCTGGGAGCCCTGGTGCCGTAGTGGTAACCTGTGTGACTGTGATCTACAAGGTCAGAGATTGGAAACCACCGGCGGGAGAAAAATGGGGCTTTCTACTCCAGTAAAGAGCGGCAGTCTCGGAAACTCACAGGGGCAGTGCTACCCTGTCCTGTAGGGTCTCCCTCATGACAAAAGACAAAACCAGTGGTTCTCAACCTTCCCGATGCCACGACCCTTTCATATAGCTCCTCATGTTGTGGTGACCCCCCCAACCATAACATTATTTTCATTGCTACTTCATAACTCTAATTTTCTACTGTTATGAATCGTCATGTAAGTATCTGATATGCAGAATGTATTTTCATGGTTACAAACTGAACATCATTGCAGCACCGCGATTCATCACAAAAACAATATGTCATTATATATGATGAACTATTTATTTCTAAAGACAAAGAAATGAAGTTTTGTCTTGAAGCATGGCATAGCATGGGTAGCAGTCTTCACACGGGGTACTGGTAGGTGGGCGTATCTGCATGTGGGCGGACCCGCCTGGAGACGGATAGAGGAGCAGTGTCTTGGTTCCTAAGACCCTTGGGAATATGTGTTTTCCGATGGTCTCAGGCAACCCCTGTGAAAGGGTCTTCCACCCCCAAAGGGGTCGTGACCCACAGGTGGATAACCGCTGACTTAAAGCCAAACCCGAGGAAGCCATTGCCATTGAGTTGATTCCACTCTGGGATGCCCTATACGGCGGTGGAGGGGCCCCGTCGGGTTCCCAAGGCTACCCCCTGGCCGGGGCAATCTCCCTTGGACGGGCTAGGAGGCTGGAACCACTGTGCTTTCAGCACTGCCACCAGAGTTCCTACAACAGGTGACAGGTTAGGCATATTGTTCGGGTCCCTTTATTTTTGCCCGATGACACTGCTGGGTCCAGGAAGAAACACCTGTCCTTTCCATCATCCCTCTCTAAGTATTCTACTCTCCAGAGGCGTTGGTGCCCTGGAAGGGGGCAATTCTCAAAAGGGGTGGGGGGCATTAAAATTCCCTGGAAGCTTCTCAGACAGAGTGTGTCCCAGCCACCCAGGACAGGACAAAGCTTTGGCTCCTTTTGTTCAACTCCACAAACACTATGAACTTCAGTCTGAGGCCGCAGGGGCCACAAGTGCTTACACTCTCCAGATGAGCCTGGTCAACCTCCAGCGTGAACGGTTTCTGTCCTTCACTTTTGAGAGGCCTGCCCTGCAAACTCCTCCCTAGCCCTCTGAAATGTCTGGGGCCAGCAGACATTCCCTCCCCAAAGAACTCCCAGTGAGGCAAACGGAGTAAGAGGTGGGGTGGGGTGGGGGGAGAGGGGTGAAATGAATTTGCAGGAAGGATGAGTCTGCTTGGAGTAGGGAGGCTGTGGCCCTTCCAGCAGACTCGATATAAAGTGACACAGTGTCGTCATCGGCGAGGCCTGGGGAAGGAGGAATGGGGGCCCCAGTCTGCAGCCAGCTAATGAGGACCCTGGGTCCTTCCCAGAGGGGCTGGGGCCAGCCGGAGAGGGAGACACGGATTTTAAATTACTTAGGGTGAGGTGGGAGCGGGGGAAACGTAACAGGAGAGCCAGGCAGCCTGGTCTCTCAGTCTCTCGGGCACACACCTCCAAGGTCCCGCTTTTCCTCGGAGGCAGGAGCAGGGAGGGGAGTGTGGAGAGGATCTTGAGGTTCTGGTCCAAGGCCAGCCCTAGGGACCCTGTACCCACGTGCCTGGTAACCACGACAACGCTCACGTGCTCCCGGTCTGGCTTCTGCATAGGCTCGGCTTCCAAGCCCAGCCCCACCCCACTGCAGAAAGGTCTGCATTTCAAATGCTCTCCGTGTGCTTGTGTGCTGTGTGCACGCTTGCACACCTGTTTAGACACCCACCTTTGGGGGGGTGGGTAGCACTGGGAGAAGGGCTCAGGGAAAGATGATAAAATAGATTAAAAACACAAAAAACATTTTAGGATCACATTGGGATCACATTGTTTTTCCCTTTCCCTTCCAAACACTAGCACTCTTTCGGGAGGGTCCCAGTAAGAGGAAGTCAGTAGGTATGTGACCTAGAAGACACACCTGTGAAGCCTACACCCCACCTCACCCTGGGGGTCCCGGAGCCTGTGGCAGGGAGGGGTTGGTGGAACGCATTAGCTGTTGCTTTGCACTGGGCCTGCAGAATATATACATATATATCTATACATGTGTATATTCACGCACTTCTTCCACAAGCTGTTGTGTGGATTCCAACTCACGGCGCAGGAGAGAGCCGCGCTGTGCACGAGGTGGCCATGGGCCGAGGCCTCCTGGGCGGTGGTTAACCACACAGCCAATGCCTGCTACTGCAAAGGAGCCTGGGTGGCACTGAGGGGTAAGCTTTAGACGGCTCCCTGCAAGGAAAGCCTTTGCAAAGCAGCAGGGGCTCCTTGGGAGACGGATGAGGCCACTACCTGCTCCCTTTAAGGTTCACAGCCGCGGGAACTCTATATTGAGACTAGGAGTCAGAATCGAATCTATGGCGGTGGGTTTGGGCTGTTTGCTTACTTCTTTTCATTAGCGCCAAAGACCCAACGACCAAACCCTCCAGGATGGCGCAGAATGACTCCCCGGGTTCCGAAGGCTGTCAATCTTGATGCGAGCAGACCTCCTACTCTTCCTCCCATGCACCCTGCTGACCTAGCAGTTATCCGCCACACACCACCCAGAGGCCACCAGGAGCACAACGCCCGTGGAGCGTTCCACGTTCCTTTAGGCCAGGCGGGTATTGGTTTGCAGCTGAGGAATCTGAGTCTCGGGTTAAAGACCTCTCTTCCCAAGCCACCCTTTCTGTACTGCTCCTCTGCCACCCCACCCCCTTCTTTCACTTTGAACTGCTATAACCCATTGACGCTGCCTGGTGACTTAAAAAAAAAAACGTTTTGTAACTCAGGAAGCCACAGCCTCTGAACTTGGCTATTTCAGAAGACGAATAACAAAAGTCTGATCTTGTTGGAAAGCTTCAACTTTGTTTCCACGGCGCTCACATGTGGCATGGAGGAGCAATTATGTTCTAACTTTATAAAGCCTATTGTTATAATTCCGGGAGTTTGGGTAATCATCATTACCGGCAATCACGACTCACTCTCTCGACAGCTCCGGGCTGAGGGTGGGGCCTGGGGGTGAGCTGCTATCCCCCAAACCATTAGCTCCCAAGTCAGGAAGCATCTCAGGCTCCAAAGCCTCCCCACTGCACAGAGAGTTGCTGAACTGGAGGGCGGGGGAGCGGGGGGTGGGAGGCGGGAGGCGGGTTGCATAAGGTACCAGTGGAAGCCGCGTGTACTTTTGTAAAACTCTAGTGCTGGGCCCCACGAAGCTACTTAATACAGTTCAACCTCAAAGGGAGGCGACGCTCGAGGTCAAACTTCTGATTAGAGGCAGGGGTGGGGGCCTGGATGGCAACTGGACCTGAAGAAGCACTGGACCCAAAAGGCTTAGGCTCCAGAGACCCCCCCAAGCCAGGGACGACTGTCACCCCTCAATACCCCCCACCCTGCTGAGCTCCAGAGATGGTGGCCAGGTGGGGCCCCCCGACTCCCCCACCCTTGAGAACCCTTCCCTCCAGTCACTCCCTGAGCCCAGCTCTCCCGTTGGCAGCTTCCTCCCAAGATGGAATTCCAAGACCCAGGAACCATGGAAGCAATTGCCTTGCAATCAACACCATGCCCTCCCGTCTGTCCGGTGGAGTTATTTACTGGGGTTATGGCACAGAGGCCTCCAGGAGGCCTTAGGTCTGGATATAGAAACTAGATCTGCTTTACCGACGGCACCCAGGCAGGAAACTGCCTGGGACTTAGCGTTCCCTGGTGTTTTTCTTTCTGGGAAATGTGTATGCCTCCATTAAGCAATCAAACTCACTGCTCTCGAGTCGATTCCAACTCACAGCAGCCTTCTAGGACAGAGGGGAGCTGCTCCTGGGGGTTTCTGAAACTGTAACTTCTGATGAGAGTAGAAAGTCTCATCTTTCTCAGGAGGAGCAGCTGGTGGTTTCGAACTGCTGACCTTGCAGCTAGCAGGCCAATGCATAACCCACTACGTTACCAGGGCACCTCAGCATCACCAAAACCCCCAAACCAAACTCAGTGCTATCGCGTCCATTCTGACTCAGGGCCACATAATCCCACCACCACAGATACTTGTGCTAAAGTTCTTTTTCGGGTCCTTTCCACTCGTAATACAAGGACCTCAAAGCACAGTGAGACCGTGTGATGCACAGAAAAACCCACTGCCATCGAGTCGGCCTTGACTCATAGTGAGCCCGTAAGCCAGAGTGGGACTGCTTCCTAGGGTTTCCAAGACTGAAAGGTGCAGACAGCCTCCTCTTTGTCCTCAGGAGCAGCTGGTGGGTTTGCACTGTTCACCTTGCAGCTAGTAGCCTAATGCTGAGCCCACTGTGCCACCAGGGCTCCTTTATGGTGCATGAAGAGCACACTGAAGGGAGGGACTTCAACACAGTGTCCTGCAGGACTCAGGTCATTGCCACTTCCTGGACACGCGGTTCCACCTTGTAGCTGCCCACGGGGAAGACACAATGAGGATAGGTTTTAATAGCCTCTTCTCAGAAAGCTACCGCGGTGACTTTCTGTGAGCCCAGTGACCCCACCGCACAAGAAGGTACAGGGCAAATGTTC